TGTCAATTGCTCATATGTAAATGCAGGATAAAGGTGAAGAAAATTAAAACAAGACCACAAGAGTCAAAAGGACTTTGAGTCTATCCCACCTGAATTTCGAGAACAGTCCAAGAATAGATTTGACGCACTGAATACTAACGGCCGAGACCTGACGAGCTGGGCAGGACATCAAGACCACAGAAGAGAAAGGTCAAAGCAGATGTCAGAAGAGACTCTGAAACTTGCTCTACGTGGTCGAGTGGCTAAAGGAACCGGAAGAAAGGATGAAGCTGAATAGAAAATTTCAAAGGGCAGCTCGAGAAGACAAAGCCACATATGATAATGAAATGTGCAAGGCTCAGAATGAGAAACAAAACGGAAAGAACACACTCAGCATATCTGAAGTGGAAAGAACTCGAGCCTCGAATGATAATTTAGAAAGATTCAATAGGCAAAATATTGAATGATACAGGGAGTATCAAGAGACGAGAGAAAGGGTACACGCAGTCGCTGTTCCAAAAAGAACTAGTCGACAGTCCATCATTTCAGGAGGGAGCATATGAGCAAGAGCCAATGGTCCTGAAGGAAGAAGTTCGAACTACACTGAATGCATTAGTCAAAACGAGGCTCCAAGAATGGACACAGTACCCATTGAAATGGTGCAGAAAACGGAAGAAGCCCTGGAAGCACTTACACGTCTATGCCAAGAGATTTAGAAGACGGCCACGTGGCCAACTGATCCATATTTGTGCCCATCCCAAGAAAAGGTGATCCAACAGAATGTTCAAACTATAGAACGATATCACTGTTATCACACACAAGTAACATTTTGCTTAAGATCATCCAATATTGTGGCAGCCGTATCAGTTATTGACAGATAACTGCCAGTACTTCAAGCCCAAAAAAGACGTGGTCCAAGGGATATCATGGCTGATGTCAGATGGATCTTAGCTCAAAACAGAGAATACCAGAATGATGTTTACTTGTGTTTTATTGCCAAGGCATTAGACTGGGGAAAACCTGGAGAAGAATGGAGATTCCAGAGCCCTGTGCTCATGCGGAGCATGCACATAGAGACAGTCATGCAAAAACAAGGAGAAACCACAAGGTTTCAAATCAGGAAAGGTGTGTGTCAGGGTTGTGTTTTCTCAGAATACTTATTCAATCTGTGTGCTGAGCAAATCTTCAGAGAAGCTGGGTCATGTGAGGAATGTGGCATCAGGATGGGAGGAAGGCTTGTGAACAACTTGCAGTGTGCCAATGACCCAACCTTGCTTGTTCAAAGTGAGGACTGGAAGCACTTGCTGATGAAGATCAAGGGTGGCAGCGTTCAGTATGGACTACAGCGTAAAGTCCAAAATCCTCACGACTGGACCAATAGGGAACATCACGGTAAGTGGTGAAAAGGTTGAAGTTGTCAAGGATTTTGTCTTGCTTCGATCCATCATCAATGCTCATGGAAGCAGCAGTCCACAAAAGAAGTATTGCATTAGGTAAATCTGTTGCACAAGACCTCTTTATATTGGAGAGCAAGGATGTCACTTTTAGGACTAACTAGTGCCTGACCCCAGCCATGGTAATCTCCATTGTAGCATAGGCATGTGAAAGTGAGATGCTGAATAAGGCAAACCAAAGCAAAATCCATGCATTTGAATTGCAGTGCTGGAGAAAACTATTCAAAGTACCATGGACTGCTACGAGGACAAACCAATCTATATTGGAAGAAGGAAGGCCAGAGTGCTCCTTAGAGGCAAGGATGGTCAGACTTTGTCTTACATACTTTGGACATATTGTCAGGAGAGACCAGTCCCTGAAGGAGATTGTTTGGTAAAGTGGAAGGGCAATGGAAAAGAGGGAGGTCCGTGATGAGATGGATTGACACAGTGGCTGCCATCAGTGGGCTCAGACATGGGAACAGTTGTGAGAATGCCGCAGGAGCATCCAGTTGCGTTCCGTTGAGCCTGGGGTCACTATGGGTCTGAGTTGACTGGACAGCAACTAACAACTCTCTCTTGCCACTCTGCACCTGTTTGATTGGATCATGCCTTGGGCTTCTGGGTCCAATGGCCCAGGTGGCCTGCCAACCTTGTTCCTAGATCCCTAGGACTCGGCACCCATTAGCCTGTGATCTCCCCACCTCCCCTTTGACCTCCTGCTTCATTAGTGTGCAGCTGTGTGTCTGGAGGGACTTCCAGCTAGCGTGACCCATGGACTTGAGTTGGGCTGCTTCCCAGATATAAACTTATTTCTTTATATAAAGTGCATTCTTAAATATATGAATGTCACTACTTTTGTTCCTCTTGAAAACCCAGTTAGTGCGATCTTGATCATTTCTGCATTGTTGGGCATCTTTCTCTAGGGTGAGCACCATGAATGATCTCTTCTTGTGAGGTGCCCAGGTAAGTCTTCTTGGCAGAGATGAGTGAGTGCTTCCAGTGCTTCATCAGCTTGTTGAAACATTCCCATTGGTATCCCATTTCTGGAGCCTTGTTTTTTTGCGTGTCTTTGGTGCAGCGTGGACTTCCTCATCCAGCATCATTGGTTGCTGATCACATGCTACCTACCTCTTGAAATGCTTGTGTTGACCAGTTGTTCCAGTATTACTGGGTATTCCATCACCTTCTGATGGTTCCTATGATCAGTCATTATTTTGCCCACATATCCTTTGATATTGCAACTCGAGGCCTGAATCTTTTCAATTCATTCACCTTTCGGACTCCATGTCTTTGAACAATTTTTTTTCCTTCATAATTTTCTACTCAGCTTTTACTCCATGAGGTCTTCCATTTGACCCAGCGCTTTCCCAAGGACTCCCATCATCTCAGTAGAGGGTTGGATTTTTACTCTCAGAAAATTGCATCTTCATTTTGGATGGTAAAAGCCTTCTTAGATCTCCACTCATTGTTGACGTTGTGGGTGATGAGGATTTTTATTTTAAATATTAAAAATGGCTTTAGAGTACACATACTAAGTGGATGGAAATTTGTATGTTACTTATTGTCTTCTTTCAAAAAAGGAGATATGCGCTCCCTTGTTGAAATCAATATGAAGGTTAAATGAAACAATGCTTGTAGAGGGCTTCGCATGACACTCGGTCAAGTTTCTGTGGACTATACACAGTAAAACCCATGAAGGTCACCACCTGTGTAGGCAGAAACGCACTAGAGAATCAAAACTCAAATATATCTCCCACGACTATGGAGCGCTGGAACAGTGAGGCTAGAAATGTGGGAGTCCCAGAATCCAATCGTGCCAGCTGCTCCAGCCCCTGCTGTCCACCGGACTCCTTACAGAGAGGACTAGGAGGCGCTTTAGTGGGGGGTTCCACCAGGTATACTTAAAAAAATGTATCAGTCGTGGCCGTGGGAAGAGCCCGGGTGGTGCAGTGGTTCTGTGTTGGGTTGCTAATCACAAGGTCATCAGTTCAAAACCACCAGCCTCGCTTCAGAAGCTTTTTACTCCTGTAAAGCTTTAGTCTTGGGAGCCCACAGGAGCAGCTCTACCATCCTATAGGGTTGCTGAGTTGGAAGAGGCCTAATGGGGCGTGTGGCATTTGGGGAGCTGTGTGAAGAATGGGGACAAAGTAGACATACCGACAGCAGCAGACGCCCGAGAGGACTAGGTGAGTGAGCGCACACCCATGAACAGGACCTAGCCACCAGACAGGGAAGTAGAGGAAAGCTTTGACTGATTCACTTAAAATGAGACTTGCAGGTTCAGAGGAGACGTGTGTGAGAGAGAAAAGATGGTATCTGCATTCTTTTAGATTCATTTTTTGAGGCAGTGAGAGGCATTTCCAAACGAAATGTAGTTAACGATTAGAAAGCACGGGTTGAAGGAAATACACACGACAGTGTACAAACGAGCCCCTGCTCAGTGCAGTTACCGATCAGAAGGCACAGTTGAAAGAAACAGACGTCAGGGCATGCGTGGCATGAGCCACGCCGCCGCCTTCGTGGTTACGAGAGTTTATTTAAACGAAACGATGAGAATACAGAGGCGACCACAATGGCAGCTGGCCAGAATCCTTGTGCATTACAGATGCACACTGGCTGGAGAAGGGTCCTTGGACCCACACGCTTCAGAAACAGAGAGCCAAGCCAGCTGCATAAATACAGAGAAGACGAGAGGTTTCACAGCTTTTTGCTTTGCGTTTCCATTCGAAACACCTGTATCTCTTACAATTTTACACTGTAAATGACTACCCCACAGATCTTGTGTGACAGTGGCGAAGGATGCAATGGTCTCATCCCCTGACACAGACTTGAGTCTACAACGTGGAATGTCTCAGTGGGCTATCAAACAAACCCAGATACAGAACATACAAAAACAATCCTAAAAGAAAAAAACGATCTGAGGACTACACTGCCCATGTTCAATGAGGAGGAAAGAGGAGGGGAAGAGAAGTAAGTCGGGGTGCCTAAAGTCAAATCTAGTATCTTGAGGTCTTCAAAGTTTCCATCCCCTCCTCCAAGGGAAATAGTACTTTTGCACTAATGGGGGTGGAGGGACACGTAACATCCTTTCCCCCCTAAGGAGGAAGACACCTGCCTGACAATGCTTAGATGCCATATACTAAGTACAGCAAGGGAGCAGAGCAAATGCCATGTGAACTGGCTGCGGTTTTTTATTTCTAAGCATATATATATATATATGTATATATATATATATGTATGTGTGTGTGTATATATATATATTTATTACAAAGTTTCTTGGTGTGGGCTAACGGTGCTCGCCTGTGGGAGGTGGTCTTTAGTGCCCGCACGCCAGCAACCGTGCACATCCCAGGCTCATCCTCTCACAGGCTCCAGCGTGGGGTATCTGCTCGGGGTTCTTGTCTTCATTCAACTGCGGTAGGGTTCCTGGCTCAGTTACATGGTCATGTGCTCCGGGAGAACATAGGAAATATCATCCCACGGGTGACGATACAGCCCCTGCTTCAGCCTCTTCTGATCCAGGTAGTGTCCTGAAATGGAGCACAGGCATGTGAGAGGTCGCCCAGGGGCACGAGGGGAAGGCAGGTCGGAACCCAGGTCAGAACCCAGGCCCCGGGGGAGTAAGTAAATCCGGACAGAGGCCAGTCGTCGGAAGTGCTGGGCTCAACTCCCGAGGCGCCTCGGTGGCTTCACTGTTCCGTGTCGGGCTGCTACCAGCAAGGTGAGCAGCTGCTCTGCAGCAGACCGAGCGGCGAGGTGAGCTTTCTCCTCCAGGAAGGATTTGCACAGTCTCAGAAACCACAGGGCAGTTCTACCCTGTCCTATTAGGGTCAATGCCAGTCCGAATCAACTCAATGGCAGTGAATTTTTTGGGGTGAGGGGAAGAGGAGTAGGGAGGGGTGTGTTTAACTCTCTCTGCTACCCCACCATTGGCTAATAAATTAAAGTCGTGTCTAAGGACAAAGGTAAGAGGGAATTTGAGAAAAGGAAGGGAGGATTCGGAACAACGATTAAGGAAGTATGACGTCTCCGATGAAGAAACCCCCTTCCCGGGCCGCGGGGCTGTGTGTGGGGTGAAGAGGAAGAGGAGAGAGCCCCTCCCAGCAAACCCAGAGGACTCACCGATGAAGCCCATGCTCCTGCCCAGCACAAAGACGCCATTGAGGGCTCCGATGTCGATGTACTCGTCCGCTTCCTCCCTGCAACACACAGGCCAGGGGAGGCTCGAAACGGTCGCCGCCCGCCCACCCCCAAGGCCGATGGCTTCTGCCGGGGACAGGTTCCTGTAGAGGGACAGACGCCCTGGGCAGGAGGGCCTGTTTTCTTCTGTCGCCGTGGTTTCCAAACCTCTCCCGCAAACGCACCGGCCCAGCAGCGCTGGGGCCGTTAGAGGGAGGGGGACGCTGGCAGCAACCCGCGGGCAGGGCCGTGGGGCTCACCGAGTGAAGGACCCACAGTTCCTGAGCATGTCAACAAAGGCCACGCCAATAAGACCATCCACATTCAGGATCAGGTTCGGCTTCTGGCAAAACAGACAGACAGACATTTAACATCATGTCATTAGCATCAAGCATTTATTATCCTTCCAGTTTTCAGCTTGGCAAGTTCTCTCGTGCTGCTCTGGCCACAGACTCGGGCTGCTGTCCCAAACCCTCCCGGCAGCTCGTGATCAGAAAACAAAGAGACGGTGCCGCCCTCACTTCCGCACTCCCAGGGTCTCGCAAAGAGCCCAACACCGAGCGCGCACTGGCCTGCGGCGATTCCGTCTCGCTAGGAGACGACACGACACGCGGTTTCCGCAGGACACAATCAAGCGAGACCCTGGCCCCCAGCCCCGTCCTTCGGCCGCGCCCCAAGCTGCACCTTTGAGGTGGTGATCTTCTCCACTTCCAGCGCGTAGTCGAGCAGCGGGGTGGCGGGAAAGTGCTGCTTCACGTAGTCCTTGAGGATCTGCACCCGCATGTCCGGGTTGTTTATCTAGGAGGTGACCAGAGTGAGAGGGGCCTGGGGAACACGGGGATGGGGCGCGTTCATCCCTGGGTCACGGGGACAGATGTGCCAGGGGCTCGCCGCCGGGGGCTCTGCAGGGCGGGGCCTGCAGGCCTTGGTCATTGCCTCCCTTTCGGCCTGTGCTGGCTTTGCCCTGTAGCACGGAGCTGAGACTGGGAAGTTTGGTGGCTTGGGCATGGGGAGAGGGTGTTGGGGGTGAGGGCTGGGACCCGCCCAGTTCCCCTATAGAAAGTGCTACAGGAAGCACGCATACAGCGGAGCGCGAAGCAACCATCGCCAAGCCCAGTGCCATGGAGTCCCCGCGCACTCACGGGGAACCTATGCAGGTTTTCAGAGACTAATCTTTATGGGAGCAGACACCCTCCCCCGTCTCCTGAGGAGTGGCAGGTGGCCTTGAACCACCAACCTTGTGGCTAGCAGCCCAACTGCCTAATTCCCAGAACCGGCAGGGATTCCACGGGACAGAAAAGTGCTCCTGTGATTTGATGAAAAACCAGGCCCTTCAGAGAATGGAGACAGACTGGCCTCCTGCCAGGACTCCGCGGTGACGCTAGCGGGGGAGGGGAAAATCCCAACAGCCACAGTGACGTCACTCAGACCCCAAGTAAGAAACTCACTGCCATCGAGCCGAGGCCGACTCAAAAGGAGACCTGACAGGGCAGGGCAGACACTGCCCGGTGGGCTTCCAAGACTGTCACCTCTGTACAGGAGCAGACAGCCTCAGCGTCCTCCTGCAAGGGGCTGGTGGTTTCGAACCGCAGACCTTGCAGTTAGCAGCCCAATGTGTAACCCTTATGCTACCAGGACTCCTCCAAGCAATAAACATGCCCCAAACTGAGTCTGGCCACACAGTCTAGTACGGTCTTAGAGGCCTAACTGCCCGCAGAGCTGGCTAACTTCGCAGGCCCTGACCCAGAACACTGGATGAATAACCTTTGCTGGCTAAGGGGAGGGAAGCCCCTCACTCACCGGTTCATGCGAGACCCTCTCATGCCAACATGACTACGCTTCTGCCCAGACCAGCAAGGTGGCTGACTGCAGGGCCCAGGACGCTGGGACAAAGGTCCTACCAAGGAGCTGCTCCCTCGGGGCCTTAAGCAGCTGCCAGTGACCTCCTCCCTGTCACTGTTTAAACCCAACCCAGTGACCGGGCACAGCGAGCGCTGCCTGTCTCTGAGAGATGGTATTAACTGCTTCACGTGTTGACTGCCCTTTCCCGCTTGCCTCTCCTCATCGGGCCTGCCCTGATTAACGATGCTTCCTACTGTGGTGAGGTCAGGCTTGGCCACGTGGTATGCTTAGGCCAGGGAGATGTGAGTGTCATGCACCGTCAGACCTGCCCTGAAGCAGAGGCTGTGACAGCCTTCCCAGGGTCCTACCACTGCCGCTTCCCCTCAGTCAGGGACCAGCAGGTCGGGGCCAGGAGCTGTTCCTCCGGCAGGAGCCCCGACTGGAGAAGACAGAGACCAAGGCTGCAGCTAACCTTCCGTGGACGTGGTGCACGTGGTGTTAAGACCTAAGACCGCATAGTTGCTGGCCTGGATCCCAGATTGCCTCAGCTGTTACAGGGGGCCTTCTCTGGACTCAGCTAGCTGCCCCACCCTTTGCTTACCCCTCCCCTGCCCCACCGGGTCTTCTCTCCAAAGCTACATTAACAAGCCTCGGGCTCATGGGATTTTCCCTCCATAATTTCACCAGGTACAAAGGGTTGAAGGGTCATCTCGATCCTCACACGAGGCAACTGACTGCACTGTCAGCCCAGCCAGAGCTCCACGTTCTGGGGCGTCGAGGACACGAGCACCCCCGAACGAAGCTGACACGCCCTGGTCCCCTCCCACCTGGAGGCCCTGGTGGGGCTGGCTTACCGACTTCACCCGGTGCCCGATGCCCATGATGAGCTTCCCCTCCTTCTTCATCTTGTTCACAAACTCCATGGGGATGATGCCGCTGTCGAAGGCTTTGCTGAACATCTTGGCTGCTGCATCCAAGGCGCCCCCAAACCGGTCCCCCTGTGGGAGCAACAAGCCCGTGACCCCCTACGGCCTGGCCAGCCCACTGGGGCCATTCTCCACGGCAGCAGCCAGGCAGCAGGATGCCCACGGCCAGTGGCCCGGCCCTTCTCGGTGTGGGTACTCACGATGGTGAGCAGCCCCGAGGTGAGGCTGGAGACCAGGTCCTTGCCAGCCCGGGCGCAGATGATGGTGTTGTGGGCCCCAGAGACAGCTGGCCCGTGATCCGCCGTCACCATCAGGCACATCTCGATGAATTGGCAAGAGTACTTGGGCAACCTGGAGGCAGGGAGAGTTTGAACAGAGGTGAGGTGCTGGGCTGGTAGTATGCTGAGCAGGGCACGTCCCTGCTGCCCACGTTTCCCTGAGCAGGGCACTCATTGTCTAAGGCCATCAGACAATCTCAAGACCCACTACCCACACGCCAGGGCCGCTCTGCACCTGGCTGCTAACTGATACAACATTTACAATAAGGCAGCCAGACCTTGGCTGCTCTGCTCTGGGCATCGTCCCCTCACCCGCCGTCAGGGGCTCCAGTGGGGCGTGACTCGTGGTTGTGACTACACAGGGGAGGTGGGACCTCTGTCCCTTTCACATTGTGGGGGCCCAGGCCTCTGGCACAGAGGTCAACCTCCCAACTAACAGTCAGGGATGAAGTCTGGGGCCATGGAGGTGAACGAGCAGGCAGCAGAGCCATTCAGGTCTCCGTGAATTAACTGTCCGTGAACCTGCCCTAGAAAGGACCCAAGGCAGGACCGAGTCCTAGGGCTCTACAAACCCACCCTGATCTCCTTCTGCCCAGGGCCACTGCACATGGGGTCCTGTGGAGCATGCACTCCTTGCGGAGCACCCCTGCCTGCCCGTCGGCTCCAGGCTCAGCTGCTTTGAAAGCTGTGGAGAAAACCGACTTTCCCCAGTAGTCAGGCTGACGAGACCCACATTTACAGAGGACACAAGAGCAGGTCGGCCTGGTGGCCACTCTGCAAGGCCCCTCTTTATCCAACCGGACCCTCCCAGGTCACCTCTACTCGCCCCCAAGATGCCTCATGTACGGACAGTTCCAAGGGGAGGGGCTGCTCCACGCCGTGCCAGAGGCCAGCGCTTTCCACTCTGCTGAGGCTACACTAGTCTGTCAGCGGCCAGCAGGCCTGGGGCCACAACATGGAACCCTGCACCAGCCGAGTGCCCTCCACACCTCACCTTCTCTGGAACCAGAGGAGGCCGAGGACGCCACCGATGCCCATCTCCTCCTTGAAGACCTCAGTGATGGGCATGCCCGCGTAGATGAGCTCTTGCCCGCGCTCGTCACAGATGCTGGTCATGAAGGAGGCGGGTTTGCGGATCAGGCCCAGCTCCTAAGCAAGAGGGAGGGCAGAGGGCAGCAGGGCTACGGTGACTCGCTTTCCAGAACAGGCCCCCTCGTCCCGTGTTCTCAGAATACCTTTCCATCCTAGAGACCCTACGCCAGCTCCGCTTCCCAGAGAGCAAGTGCATAAGCCTCAGGACCCACTCAGGTCAGGCGCAGAAAGCCAGAGCGCCATGCCCGGGCGGGGCACCTACCCAGCAGTGCTGTGGGCACAGTTGACGCCCATCAGTTCCCGGCTCCCGCATGGAGGCACTCGCTCGCTACCTCACAGTCCAGCCAGGCCAAGAAATCTAAGGATCTATTTTTGATTCTAAACGGGAATCTCCTTAAGCTGCCGGTGAAGGACAGGGCTACGGAGGAGGGAGGTCCCAAGATGCTCTTCACCTAGGCTCCCCAACCCCCCCGCTTTCAGAGCGCAGCAGTCACCAACCCCGGACCCATCTAGCTTCCGCTAACCCTACAGCCTTTAGGTAAAACGCGGAAGAGTCAGTTACTTTTCAGCTACAAAGGTAAGCTACGTGCAGAGAGCACTACATCCTCTGGGACTGCCATTCCCATCCTGTTCTTCTCCGGTCCTGTTCGTTTGGCCCTGTTCATTTAGCGGGCGATTTTTCCAGACCTTTCCCTCACGACCAGTCTTTGCGTGCATACCAAGGCACACAGAGAATGTGCAGGTGCGTGTTGTCACAAGCCTCTCATGACACCCTGTCTCCGACTGCGATGCACCTGAGCGTCCTAAGGCTGGGACAGGCCGGCCTAGCAGTGTGCAGCCACCCGGTGACACGGCCACCCTTTGCTGCTGTGGTTACCCAGAGCAACCCACGCGGCAGAGGGGCTGCTCCGCAGGGCTTCCTCTGCAGCCATTTGTCTGGGAGCAGACGGTCAGGCCCTTCGCACTGGGTGGGCAGTTTGGACCACCAAGCCAGATGCTTGACCACTGAGCTCCCAGGACTCCTTAGCTGAGGAGGCTTCAGGGAAACGTGGAACAGAAAAGTACTGGACTGGGAATCTAGGACAGATGAACCACTCAGGACCAGGGGTGACAGTGGCCATACCAGGAGGGAAGGGGGGTGTAGAAAGGGGGAATTGATCACAGGGAGCTACATATAACCTCCTCTCTGGGGGATGGG